CAATCCTACTGGGGCCCCTCTGTGAAATAATGTAGAATTTCTGGCTGAAACATGAAGAAGTAGGAAATATTTAACTGGCTCCCATTCCACACAAGAAAGGGAGGTTGCATGGAATCAACAGAGAAACACTGGGCCAGAAGGTGACACACACCTGCTGCAGCTGAGGCAAGGAGCTGCCAGGTCACACCTGTAGGCAGCTGGCTGCTGTGGCAGTGACTGGGTTGAAACAGTGGCCTCGACAATATGAGCACCCTGGGTTCCACTGTCCGTTCTGAAAGGTTCCATGATGACTAGAGGACAGGTGGGATTCAACCACCAAAGCTTCCATTTGAAACGATTCTTTCATTTCTTTAAGGATTGTTGCTCACATAAGTTTAAAGACTGCATAGCAACCCTTGAGAAGTAATTGGCTTGGAGAAACAGTTGTTCAAACAAGAGAATGAACTGCTTTGTTGTACTAGGCTACAGCATTCCTGTGCTTCTACATTTGGAATTATGGTTTATGGAGATCTCTTGAATTCAAGTGGCACAGTAAGAAGAAAATAACTACAATTTTTTAAAAAAATTTTCTTTTTAACTTCATTTACAAAGACAAGAGTTTTTGATTAAGTCATTCCCAGGAGTCAAGATCTGCACAATCTGCAAATGTCATCTGCTCCTTGGCACACTCGCTCTCTTCATTCTCTTGGCAGCTCCTGCGGCTAGCTGGAGTTCCACTCTCTGGAGCTCTCTCGGGACGTTATGTTTGGGTTGGAACTGGAGACCATTGCGGCAACACTCGCTGTTTTTCCTCAGTTACAAGAACTAGATGAGAGATTCAACATGATTAATGCGGAAGGCCAACTATTTAATGCTATGAAACATGATGAAGTGTTCAGCAGAGGCAGCAAATATTTTGGATTTTTATATTGAGCAAATATGCATTCAAGAAAAATTCAATTTCCTTTCTAGAAAGTCAACAGGTAAAGCCTGAGTGTCCACTGATTTCATTTTGGTGGCATTCCAAATTAATTTAGAAAGAGAAAAAAAACTTTTTAAAAATAAACATGTTATTTTGGAGTAATTTTAAATTCTCAAAAGTTGCAAAGACAATTTAGTGTCTGCGTAGCCTTCATCCAGCTCCTTCATAGAGAACATGCCACATCGCCATGGTATATTTGTCAATGCCAAGAAACCAACATTACATTTACCTAAACTCCAAACTGATCTGGATTTCACCAGTTTTTCTATTAATGTCCTCTTTCTGTTCCAGGATGCAATCCAAGGTACCACATTGCAGTTAGGTTTGATGTCTTCATCGTTTTCTCTGGATCTTGATAGTTTCTCTGTCTTTCCTTATGTTTCATGACCTTGAAAAATTTTAAGAGTACTGCTCAGCTATTTAATATTTTTCAATTTGCGTTTGAAGACCATTTTTCTTATAATTAGGCTTTGGTTATGAATTTTTGGAAAGAAAACTAAATACCAAAGATATATTCTTATGCCCTTCTTATGACATCGTGTCAGGGGCACCTGATATCCACGTGACATCACACTGATGGCATTAACTTCCATCCTTTCATAAAGGGGTAGTTTGCCAGGTTTGTCCATGGTGAAGTTGCGATTTTATTTTTCAGAACTGAGCACTTTAAGAAAAGATAACAAGCTATATCAATGCAACAGGAGGGAGTTATATGTCAGTGAAACAAAACTATGGAGATGTATGGCCATTTTGCTGTTTTCATTTTAGAGTAAGTAAATTTGAACCATTCCACTGGGGAATAATAAACTAATATTTAAAAACGATTCCTCTCCTGAAATTATTAATCATATATCGCACAGCTTTTGTCCTATCATAGCATGATTAAGAGCCATTTTCTCTGGATTTGTTTGCTAGGTTCCACAGATGAATTTCAGGAAGTTACTAACATCTTTGCACCTCAATCTCTTTATGTGTAACCCAAATGTCCTGTAAAGGTAATAGTATCGACTTGACAGTGTTGTCTAGAAGATTAAGTGAGTTCGTATTTGTGAAGTGCTTAAAAGACATAATCAATGCTCTGCTCCTTGGAGGGGTACAGAGGTTTAGCCACTTGCGGGTGGTGTGTGGCAGCTAAAATAAAGGAAGCCACATGTTCCATATTTACCCAGAATCCTTAAGCTTTTGTAATGTAACTACATTTATTGAAGGAAAAAAAGCAAATTTTCAGTAATCTGTTCAAGTTTGTTTCATAGACAAAAGTTGGGATATTAGAGAAATAAAATCTTAATGCCTTTCTGACTTTTATAAACTTTATAAAATGAACATGTATTACAACTACAATTAGAAAACAAATGAAAATATCTTTCAAGTTTTAAAGAATCACTTTCATATTGTTGAGTCAGTTTCCCATCAAATCAAAGAAAAATATTGATGAAAAGAGGAGTAGCCATACAAACTCTCCATTATTCATGAGCTAGTCACATATTTCATAACCTTTAGATTATTTGTCATTTCCTACTCCTTAATACAAATTTTAATCTCAGTTTAATTTTCCTAGTTTTTCTCTTACAATTATCCTGATAAATACTAGAGTAATTTTAAAGATAGTAATTCCACTTGTATATCCTTTCCATTAAGTAAAACAGAAAGTCTTTCATTCAAAGTCTCTTTTCATAGATGAAGTGATTTTAAGTGGGACTACAAAATTAATCAATAATCCATTTCATCAGTAAAAAAAAAAAATCCCCAGTGTACCTCCAAGTACACTGCAGATATGTTTTTCTTTCTGAAAACTTGATACATAAATTTTAATTTTGTATATTTTATAAATTCTCAGTTGAGTTCTTTTTAATAGGTTGGAAGTCTGCAGCATTTATTACAGGTTTGAAATTGCTGAAGATTTTTGGGACACTTAGCATTTTGGACTTCATTGGATCAATGCTTTTCTTGGATTTTTTTCTGTCACGGGATTTAAATAATTAGGAAAATGTGAGAAAGGTAATTTTTGAAAAAGACTGTAGCATTTACACTATCTATGGTGTTTGTTTTAAAGCGACACGATATTCTCGCATACTCTTCCTCCCTTGGCCAAGATTGCTATAATGGCAGAACAAGCATCCCATGACCACAAGGTCATTTTGGAAACAAAGACAGTGGTGTTTATATGAAAATCCTTTCTTCTACTACCTGCCTTCATGTCTTAAGGGCTCACTCTGCTCCATGTAAAGTTGTACACAGTTAGGGAGAGTTGGGTGCAGATGCCGAAAATTTTAAATACGAAAAAAGTTGAAGACTGAAATTTTCCACTAGATTTCTTTTTTCCCTTTATGGAAGAATTCACAAGTTGAGTTTCCATTTAGGCAATGTCGGGCAAAGCTATTTTCATTTTATTTATTTAACAAACATTTATAAGGCATTTACTTCCTACTACCGCCCACAATGTTATACTCATTGGCCATAACCACCTTGGGCGAGAACAGAGAGGTTTGAGGGCTTGCAGGCGACACAGCAACTAAAGGCAGGCAGCAGGGTTGCATGGCCCGCGTTGGCTCCTGTCCCTTGGACTGGGTAGAGCCCAGTCCTGGAGACACTTGTCCCTGGGGCAGAGGACTTTCCTTTCCCCTCTCCTTCCTCCCATCTCATTCCAAGTCTCAGAGAGGCCTGAACCAACTTGGAGAATCGCACTTAACCCCTCTCAAACCTAATGATGACTCAAAACAAGTTCTCTAAAACTTCTGCAGAAAAAGTGATGAAGGCGTCAGGTTCATCATTGAAATTCCCAGTCGGAAAACAGAGACATGTCACTGTTGCTAGAGAAAGGGGGCAGCGCTGGAGAGCAGGACATTCCGTTGGAAATGGAACGTGATTTTACTCGCGACCTGGAGTTTCCCGTTCCCTCCACCTGCGTCTGGTCGGTGCTCCCTCACCTGCGACACCCGGCCAGGTGTCTGCTGCGCGGCCAAGGCCAGAGCAGAAAAGGCGGCCCGCCAGCCTGCCTTGCCCTGCCCGCAGCTTCCCGCGAGGCCAGGCCCCCATGGCAGGTGCAATCCGACGGCCTCCCGGGGGCAGGGGGCGCGAGGGCGGGCAGTCGCGGCGGGGGGGGGGGCGAGGTGTGAAAGGAGGGGTCGGGCTGCAGCCCTGCCCCCAATCCCACACGGATTCCACGTGTGCCACCGGCCCTGCTCCGACCACACGGAGAACTGTTAAACAAGATAGTCTAGTGTGACCGGAAAGTGCACAGGACAAGGAGCGAGCCCCGCATTCTCCACGGGAATTGAGACGAGGCTGTAATTTTGACAGAGCATTGATGTCAGATGTGCATGAAGTACCCAAACCAAACTGTGCGTGTGTGTGTGAGAGAGAGAGAGACAGAGAGATAGACAGAGAGAGAGAGGGAACACACAGATAGATAACAGGAGTGACAGGCCACAGGTAGCGCTAGCTCCACGAAAGTATGTCTGTCCCCATCCCTCCTAACGTCGCAGGTGCGATAACCGGAACACACTCTCCTCCAGGAGTCCCTCCCCTGTCCGGGTCTCCGGCCCGGCCCCTCCCTCCCGCGGCGCACCTGCACGGCGGCGGCCGGGTGACAGGCGGCAACCGCGGCGCTGCGGGCGACTCGCTTTCCTCCAGGATTGGGCGGAAAGTGGGAATCTCAGAGTCGCAGGGTGCGCGGGAGTTATGCGGGCGGGCCGGGCAGGGGCGGCAGCCGCGGCCCCTCCCTCTGCACCCCGGGGCCAGGGCCTCCCCCTGACTCCCGGAACCACCTGGGGCTCCGGGAATTTCCCTGGCCCGGGCTCCCGGCTTTCCCGCCCCAGCCCGGCATAAAAGGGGTTCGCGGGGCTCGGGAGCCGCAGACCCGCACGCAGGCCCCTCGCGCCAGCTCCAGCCGCTCCATCGCCGCCTCCCGCCAAGCCGCGAACCCGCACCCCGGAGCCGCAGACCAGCACCCCGGAGCCGCGACCCCGCACCCCGGAGCGCAGACCAGCACCCCGGAGCCGCAGACCCGCACCGCAAGCCCTCCGCCGCCCGCGGAGCCATGGCCCGCGCCGCCCAAGTCCCCCGCACCCCCCGGCTGCTGCCCGCGGCGCTGCTGCTCCTGCTCCTGGTCGCCGCTGGCCGGCGCGCTGCAGGTGGGACCCGCGCCGGGACCGGGGCGGACGGGCTGGGGCGCCCACCCGACAGCCCCGCTAACGCGTGTCTCCGCCCCGCAGGGGCGCCCGTGGTCGCCGAGCTGCGCTGCCAGTGCCTGCAGACCCTGCGGGGCATCCACCTCAAGAACATCCAGAGCGTGAAGGTGACGGCCCCGGGCCCCCACTGCGCGCAGACCGAAGTCGTGTGATGTCGCCCGCACCAACCCCCCGCCCCCGCCCGCCCGCTCCCGCTCACCGGCCTCCCGCTCACCGGCTCCGCTCCCCGCAGAGCCCAGCTCAAGGGCGGGCAGGAGGCCTGTCTGCACCCCGAGGCCCCCATGGTGAAGAAGATCATCGCCAAGATGCTGGGCAGGTGCGTTGCGGTTTCCTGTCGGGTGGCTGCGGTCAGGGGGAAGAACCGGCTCGGCCCCGGTTCTGTCGGGGAAACTGAGGGATTAGCAGAACGGCTAAAAGTTGCCACTATTATTTTTCCAATTAAATTTTCCGTTGAGACTGTTCATGTGCTCTGCGCCAGGTTCCCCGTGTCCCCATCCCGCCCGAGCCCTGCCATCCTCCTGAGTGTGCGTAAAACCGCCTCCTGCAACATTCTCACGAGCGTTGGCTGGTTATGCTAAAAATCTTTCAACCTGTTAAGAAACACAGGCTTTTTTTTACCTCCCAGTTCCTTCTGAGCTTCAGACCTGAAAAGCAGACCCTTTGTTTTTTGCAACGTGGACCCTAAAGTTTGTGCTGAAAGGCAGGGACTTTGCAGTGATCACGCGCAGGGCACAAATCTGCATCCCGCCGCCTATCTTGCGACTCCGCCTCCAGAAAGCCGGGAGCAGCCGCCGCCGCCAGGGAGCGTGCGCTGAGGCTCGCACGCGGGCTTCCAGGCCACGGACGCTCGGTGTGGCGGGCGGAGACCAGCGGCTCGGGCGCTTGTAGCGGTGACACGGTGGCGACCACAGCGCCTCACCCCATTCCGTTCCCAAAGAAGAGCCTCCGAGAGCCTAGAGGTGTCCGCCACAGTTGTCACAAGCCGCAGCCACTAGGGGTGCCAGGCTAGCGAAACCGCCCAGAAAAGCCCCGCGGTGGGGCGGGACGGGGAGCCAGGTGCGCAGCCAGCTGTCCCGAGCGCACCGCGACAACCGTGTTCTGTGTTCTCCTTGTAGCGACAGCTCCGGCCGACCAGGGCAGAGGGGGAGCCCGCCTGCGGCGTGAACGAAGCGGGCCCTGCACCTATAGGAACAGAAGAGACAAGAGAAAAATAGTCCCGAGACTGCCTGGATTGGGTTTAATGCATTTAAGCATCTCTTATGGGAGTTTTTCTATTTATTTGTTTGTTTGTTTTCAAAGATTCTACATTGATATTTTACATGTAAAATAATTAAGGGTGTGATTGAATCTACTTAAACACTATACCGTTATATTTATTATATCATGTGAAACTTATGATTCTTACTTAATTTGAAAGTAAAACGTTTTCAAGTGTTCTCTACTCATTATATTAGTATATTAATATTTCTGAAGAGCTCATGGAGACATAATCAAATAGTGAGGTCACTGTGAAGGCAGACGAATGTGTGTGCATATCTGCTTCTGTAACTGTTTAAAGGAATGCCATTTGTTATCTATTGAAATGATTTTACAGGGCATGGCCAACATTTCTCGTGTTCAAGCTTTAAGAACTGCAATGTTCTAAATATTCCTTGGATATTTTATGTCTTTCTTGTAAGGCATAATGCCTTGTTTAGTGTGTTAATTATGCAGCGTTTCTCTGTGTCTTAGAACAAAGAGGTTTAAATATTTATTGTGTTTTCACAAAGAACATGAAAATAAAATATTTAAAAATAAACAATACTTATTTTATTTTGGGGGAGGAAAAAGGACTATTTTTTACTGGAGACCCTGATGGTTTACATAAATGTTTCCCAACCTTTTTTTTCCTCTTCTTGGGCATTAAATTTTATACACAGATAAATCAATCTGGTTATAGCTGTCACTTCCCTTGATTTTTATCTACTAAGAACACCCATTTCCAAACTGTGTGCTGACCCCTAATTGGAGAGTCACTGACATACATTGCTGTTTGTATAAAAAGTTACTTGCTACCTTGCTACTCAAGTTTACCTCCTTAAAAATATTTACATTCTTATAGCTATCTTAACAGGGGCTCTCGTTTAATTGCTTTTGCTAAATAAAATATTTTTTTTCACACAATTGTTGACAGTGAAGCTGGCAATGAAATTGTGGGTAAAGTGGGTTTTTTTCTTCCAAACTCAAATAATTTGTGTTCTCAATAGAAGCAGAAAAAATGAGTGGCTGAATACTTCACCTGGGGAAAGATCTGATTGAAATTTGAGTTCAGCCTTCTAACCTTTGTATATAAGTAACTACCACTAAATTTAATGTGGTAGCAAATATAATTTTTAAGATTTGACTGCATTAGTTCCTGCCCTTCCTAATGAAATTTTTATAGGACCCGATAGATTGCTAGTCCCGAGAAAGCGCTCTGGGAGCTCTGTAGTCAGTGTCACTCCAGGATGACAGCTGCACTCTGGGTTTCCAAGACAGAAACGAAGTTGGCATGGCAAAGGAAGAAAGACCCCAGTAATCTAAAAGAAACCACACTCCCAACCTGAAGAGGTGTGATGTCTGTCCATGTGTGGGCTGGGTGCTTGCCTGCAAGTCTGAACTCCTTCAGGAAATCCTGAGCCCCAGCTCTCCACCTCCGGCAAAGGCACGACAACCTCAACGCTTGGGATCAAATCCTGGTTTGTCCCGAGTAGCCGGGTAAATAAGGACCCCAAGTAGCAAGAAACAATGTCTGTGAGCTTTTTTTGCACCTAAATAAGTTTAAAAAACAATAAACTCTTCAGAACTCCAAGGTTATTAGTTAATTATGAGTAAGATGAAAAGAAAGAAAATGTGTAAACTGCACAGAAATAAATAAACGCATTCTAGGAGCTCCAGAGACGCTAGCCTTCACTCCATAACCCCAAGCTAGAGGACACTGCGAAATGTTCCCCAGGGCTCAACAAAGCCACACCTTACACTCAAGTCCTCAAACATTGTCTGGAGCTTGCTGCACTGGCTACTTAGCTCTTGGCTATGCAGACATAGAGCACAAGAAAGAAAAGGAGATGCTTTTAATCACCTGGGGGTTAAGATAGATGCTGGAGTCAATTCTAGCTCTATCACTGTGATCTTGGGCAAATTTCTTGACTTCACTCAACCTCATTTCCCCTTCTACAGAATGAGGACCATAACAGAATACACCTGCTGAAGTGTTGTGGGCATTCAATGTTATCGATGGCTCCAGAAATCTGGTACTTATCTCTGGTCCTAAGGCCAACTCTGGGGACACTGTCCTAGTCCCAGTCTTAGATCAGTGGACCTGCAAATTGCAGTTTGTACTCCAAATTGCCCTGAGACTTTGGAAGCACAAGGCAGCCTATTGTTGGGATCACTACGGCAGAAAGGGACAGTGTGTGAGGTGGCGATCATGGGGTGAAGGAAGCAGGAAAAGAAGATGTGTGACACACCACATTTTCCAGAAGCCATCAGCAGGAAACAGCAGTGGCAGCAGTGACTGAAGTTTCCTGAGCAACGCCACCCTGGGGGCTAGGGAAGGAGAGGAGGAAATGTGGGTGAGGCCACGCTGTCATCGTGGGTCCTTCTTTGGGAACCCTCCCGAGACATCCTCGTGGGACCTCCAGAAGTAACTGGAGACAAGTCAGGGGAAGGTAGACCCGCAAGAGCACGGTGGGGGCACTCCAGGGAAAAGGATGTTTTATCTAATAATATGGAAATACTAGAGACGCAGGGCCTGTCCTGTCTTCACCAGTGAGTTGGGCAGTTGCCGTGGGCGACCGCTGCCCAGCGTGAGCTCCCTGCTCTGCTGCTTCCCGTCCTGGGGGCTTTCCTCAGCCAGGGTGGGAGCGGCCGGGGCAGAGAACGTGGGAACTCAGCTCACAGCCGGGATGGCCCCCATCTGATGCCCTCAGACTCAACCCTCATGGAGACACAGGAGTTAATGGGTTCATAGTCTATTTTCGCAGCTTTTTGGCCGGATAATTCTAGAAGTTTTTTTTTTCTCTTTATATATGCACATGTAATAAAATAAATTTTATACATAAATGAAATAAATTTCATTTTATTTTAAAATAAATGTAAAATAAAATAAATATATAAAACTTCCTGCTTCTGTCTTCATTATCTTCACACTTTCTTTGAAACCCCTGAGCACATCTATAATAGCTATTTTCAAATCATTTTCTGCTGATTCTATCATTCTGTCATTTCTGAATGTTTATTAACGCCCCCCCACCTTGTTAGGGCTCATGCTGTTCTACTTCTCAGCATGGGTAGGAATTTTGGGGGAAATTTTGAATCTTATGTTGCTAAGTGTCAAGATTTCATTTTCTTCCCTCTTAAGGTCTGGATCTCCGTGCTGGTGAGCGCTTACATTGCTAGAGTCTCCATCTGATTTTTCTGAGGCGTATTTTTGAGCGTTCTTAGGGTGGTCTAGACAGTGTTCTTTGCTCTAGGGCTGTTTAGCTGTACTTCTAAGTCATGCTTCTACTGTATTCCCCGAGTGCTCACAAGGTCTGTCTGACAAGTCAGACCTCGAATACCTTCCTGCTCCGTGTGCGATCTGAGAATTGCTCATCTGTCAAATCCCTGTCACTCTGCCCGACTGATGGAGTTTTTCCTGATGCACGTGTGACTCAGTATTGATCGAGATTTCTGCAGCTCTGTTTTCCTGCACAGATCTCTCCTTTCTGCAACTCTTTTCCTTAACTTCTAGCCACTCCGGTTTCCCTGAATTCAAATCTGTGTCCTAGGGACCCTAGTCCTTGGCTGCCTCTTGTGCAAAGGCTAAAAACACTTGTTTCATATATTTTGTTGGTTTTTCTAGTTTCTTATGGCAGGAAATTAGGACTTTCATTTTATTTTCGTGTGACTGGAAATTGAAGTCGTGGTGGGACAATTCTGAGGAACGTTTTACACAGTTTCTCTGAGGCTCCAGAGCAAAATTAAGCCCTAGTTGCCCAGAAGTGATCTCTCATTCATTACATGCACTTTATTAGCTTTTCTCTCTCTCTGACTTTGCGTCACCCACTCCCTCATTTGTCCTTTCTATGATCATCTTGTAAAAAGAGGAAATTTGGAGGCAGATATGCGTACTAGGAGAACACCCTGCAAAGATGCAGATGACCATTCACAAGCCACGTAGACACCTTGAAACAACACCTCTCACCGCCCTAAGAAAGAAAAACCCTGTCAAAGCTTGATTTTGGACTTCCAGCCTCTAGAACAATAAGACAAAATACTTCTGTTGTCTAAGCCACCCAGTCTGTGGTACTTTGTTATGGCAGCCCGAGGAAACCAATACAAATGCCTCCCTGTGTGACTTGTTAATGTAAAAAAAAAAAAAAGAAAGAAGGAAGGAAAGAAAGAAAGAAAGAAAGAAAGAAAGAAAGAAAGAAAGAAAGAAAGAAAGAAAGAAAGAAAAGAAAGAAAAAAAAGAAAAGAAAAGAAAAGAAAAGAAAGAGCTCAGTATGGGATAATTAATGTCACTTATAAACTGCTTAAGGAATAAAATTAAAGCGCATAGTTCCTTGTTAGCGAATTCAACTTCAAACCCATGGAAAATACTACCTTCCAACCACAAGTAAACCGTAGTTTTCTGTTCTTGACAGGAAAAAAGTTATAATCTCAACTCCATTTTCTAAAGCATATCTATGCTGTAAGTGTAGTTTTAGCTTGACTGATTCTATTAAGACCTTACATGGGATTATGCAAATATGTACTACAGCTAAAAGAAAATACTTGCTTAGGACAAGTGTCTTAATCCCCTACTTTGTGCAAACATGCCCTTTGTAAAGGTGAGTAGACATTTTATGACTCCATTCTGTAAGTCCCTGTTACCTGCAGCTGGCATTGATTCCCTTCACAGTTACGCAGTTTCACCGATTGGAAATAATAGATTGATTCTCTATTCAACAAGTTCATCCCACCCTACTGCCAAGCCTCCAGTTGAAGCCTGAAAAGCAAGCCCAGCTTCCTTATTAGCTTGTGAGTGAGTGACAAGCATGCCGCCCTATAAGCCACACCTTTCATTCTTTAACAGGAGAGAGTGTGTGTAAGGAGAGCAACAAAAAAATTCTCAGGGTTACAGAGAACTCATAAAAGTGGACTGAAGTATTGATTCCTCCACATGGACCAGGACCAAGATCAAGGACAGACATGGCTGCTGAGAGCTCACAAACTCTCCTGCTGCTGACTGTCCTTGTCCTGGGTATGCTCCGTAAGACAACTGTGGCTCTTTATCTTTTCCCTCCAGGTGGCGGAAGAATTCAGAAAAAGACTCCAGATCTAATGAGATTGCATCTGGCATTAAGCAAAATGTAGAAATTTTGAGATTAAAACCTCTGCAGATATATGTACAGTATTTAGACTGTGGAATGTCAAATAATTTTTTGTTGAGTTAAATTTAAAAACATCTGTTTAACTTCCTAGAAATATGTAGATGTAAGAGTCTGCTCTTCTTATTAGAGATTATATTAGGAGCATTACTGGAAATAGGTGTAAGGTGTTTATTGTAATGATAGCGGGCAGATAGAAACTGACATTCAGGAGAGGGGAATCAAGATGGCAGACGAGAAACACCGCAGACAGAGTGTCTCTGCAGAAAAGACAGATTCTAGCAAAAATTAGAAGAAAGAACCAAGAAGACGAGCATACATCTGACGAAGGCCGGAAGGAGGGGTACCTGAGACCCCGGGAGACTCCACAAGAGGAGGCTGTAGAGGAGAACTGGAAGCTGAGACCGCCGGAGCAGCCTGGAGACCAGCGGGAAGGGTGGGTGGATCAGTCACCTTCCCCTCCCCTGCATCTGCGACTGCTGGTGGGCTCCACAGCGGGTGGAGAGACCTGCGGACACCAGCCCAGAGACGGCCACCGCCAGCGAGCGGTGAGCCTATAGCGGACATGGCACCAGGCTCGCAACTCCCTCGGGCACCTCCGTGTGCACAGACCCGAGCCGCGCGGCAGGCGCCATATTGCCTCCTCCTCCCCTCCAGAGAGAGATTAGACAAAAGTTGGGATATTAGAGAAATAAATCTTAATGGCCTTTCTGACTTTTATAAACTTTAATACAAA